TCTAAAATCAATGAAAACATTACACTTTCCATCTGTTTAAGTATATTAGTATACTTAACAAACAACTTATATATAGTCATATTTTAGTCAAACAGCAACACCGAAGTAACAAAAGCTGCAGTTCCTCCAATGCCCACTAGAGGCTGGCTCCAGCAGTGAGTCTCCATAAGGCCCCATATAAAAACTTCACAGCAGAAATACACGTTTACAACCTTTTGATCTCTCTGGACGGATTTATATATAACTCGCCTGTTTAAATTATATTAAGACTTAATATAATTGGCTTATGAGTGACAGGCGTCTGTTCCCAGTAACCAGGCTTCATTCAGCTCTACCTATTTCCTTCAAGATATTACAATATCAGTCTTTACAAAGAGGACACATCAGTCAGTGTGGGTTAACAGCCATAACTGGATGTTTATTGGAGCATTTACTAAAACTCTAAAGATGGAAAGAACTGATGAACAAAACCCAAAACACAATTCAAATAAAACACCACACAAATAAAAACCTGCCACCACCAACAGTGACTGGAGGAAACCAACAAAGGAGACAGAGTTAAAACCTGAAACATATAAAATCCACTATATAAAGAACAATAAAAACTGAAACTAAAACTAAGACAAAAATAATAACTGTCTCTGCCTGTAAACACTATATTACAGTCCTGCTGACTATTATTGCTCTTTCAGTCTTTTTACACACTGTTATAATAAAATATAATACCTCAGGGTGCTCGCAGCCCTGCAGAACACAAACAATAATAATCTGGACATAAATATAAAACAGTTACTATTAAAAACAACAGGTTTGGCTTTGCAGAGCCAGAAGTGTGTAAAATTGTCCAGGTGCAAAGCATCAGACTCTCACCTGATTGGCCGCTTCCTCTACAGCGGTTGTTGGCGAACAAGATAAAAAAAAGATCTTTTGGGGTTCAGAAATAATCCGATTGAACACAAACTGACCTAAACTCAAAGGATGGACTATTCTGTATCCAGGCTTCACTGAGTGACGGTGACCCCCGTGACCTTCTGGATGCCTTGCTCAAGGGGCAGGTGGACAGCGGGCGGGGTCAGAAGTCATCTGGGTTGGAAGATGAGAGGATAACAGACGACCACGTCCTGATGACGGCGGCGGAGGCATTTGGAGCTGGAGTGGAGACGACGTCGACCACGCTGCTGTGGATCCTGGCCTACCTGCTGCACCACCCGGAGGTAAAGGAGCTCTGATGAGTTCAACACAAACTGAAGAGACAGATCGACTTTGGACTGTTTAACTCAAACTGAGCACAAAAGATATTTTATTTAAGGAGAAAATAAACATCATTTCTTTACACTTTGGGGATCATTAAGAATTATTTAGATGTATATTTGTACTCTTTATGATTAATAAACTGCTGAGCTGTACAATGTTATAATGCTTATATTTTTATAACGATATAAAGTCAAGAAAACGAGTCAGTGGAACAAACTTATATCAACTGAGCTGTTTCAACAGTTCATGTTTGACTCTAATGTTAAAGGATTCATTTATGTTAATTTACTTTAATTTAGACGTGTTGGTTTTACAGCAATAATCATAAATACATATTTACTGCTGCAGAAGAAAGAATAAATTTATCTCATAATTTGAGAAAAACAGCTCGTCTCCAGTTTCTTTTGCTGATTTCAGTTCACTTCCGTAGTTCTTGATCATAAACAATCATGGTGGTGTGTGTGGTCATTATGCCCCGCCCCCTGCAGGTCCAGGAGCGCGTGCAGAAGGAGCTGGACGAGCACGTGGGCAGCGAGAGGCCGGTGTGTGTGTCGGACCGCAGCCGGCTGCCGTACCTGGACTGTGTGATCAACGAGGGCATGAGGATCCGACCAGTCAGCCCGGTGCTGATCCCGCACACCGCCCTGACGGACAGCAGGTAGCCGATCAATCAATCAATCAATCAATCAATCAATCAATCAATCCACAGACAATTAATTGAGTCATCGTTTTGTCTTTTTTCTGCCGTGAGGTTTGATCCTATTTTAGTCCTATTAAAGAAAAGTGAATATCAGATAAAACATAAAATAATAGAATAATCAATAATCAATAATCTCTCTCTCCGGTAGTATCGGAGGTCACTCTGTCGGTCGTGGGACTCGTGTTTTGGTCAACATGTGGTCGATTCACCACGACCCCCGACTCTGGGACGCACCCGACCTGTTCAACCCAGGTAAACACACACCTGAAAACAAACACAACCTTTCAGAAAGAACCTGAACACAACACCTCCCTGTTTTCTTCTCAGATCGTTTCCTTGACGACCAGGGTCAGCGGGTCACGCCCACCTGCTTCCTGCCGTTCGGGGCGGGTCCTCGGGTCTGCGTCGGTGAATCTTTGGCCCGGCTGGAGCTCTTCCTCTTCCTGTCCTCTCTGCTCCAGAGGATGAGCTTCAGGGTGCCGGATGGGGTTCCCCCGCCCAACCTGCAGGGGCGGCTGGGCGTGGTCTTACAGCCGTTACCTTATAAGGTCGTTGTCACTCCGAGGGCGGGGTGGGAGGGCGTGGCAAAATGAAAGAGGGAGGGGTTGATAGTCAAACTACGTGTTTGGTTTGTCCTTTCTGGGCTTCTGTAGAAACACAGCAGGTAACTAATGAAAACAACAGATCTTCTTAATGTTTAATTAAAATATTAAATTAATTATTCAGCCAAAAATTAATTGTTGTCTTTCTGTCTGTCTGTCTGTCTGTCTGTCTGGAGCTATCTTGTATAACAGCTCCAACTTTTTCCAAATAAATTACATGAACAGAAACTGAGTTTCTACAGATATAAAAAGACTAAAAATGGCCATAAACATAAATAAAGAGATTAATTTTGGCTAAATTTCTTCTATAAAAATCTTTCTTCATGAAATAATCAAAACAAACACAGTGTGAAACATTATTATAATATATTATCCATCGGTATGTTTTCATAATAATCACCTTAATATAAGAATCGTTGTGTTTTTGTTCCCATAGAATGTTTTTATTCTAGAGAGTCCTCTAATGTCGGCCATGTTTCTACGGTAGCCCCGAACGGACAAACCAAACACTGACTCTATAATTTGGCCGTAGTTTCTGTAACTTAACCACTAGATGTCAGTAGAGCCTCCACACTGAACCTTTAAATGCTTGATAACAGTATAAAGCTAATGCTTTATTAAAATATAAATGTTTTAATGATTAACAGATGAATAACATAAATAACGTAAATAATAATTTACATTTAAAAATGATTATTTTTGAAGTGTAATTTGACATATGATTGATCAATAAATGATTGTTTATCTCCGGTGTTTGTTGTGTGAATGTGGTTCAGCTTTATGAACGGAGGCAGACAGGAGGTAGATTTGACAGTTTTATTCAGTATATCTTCACACACTTTTAGAACAGGCTGGTTTAGTTAGGTCACACACATACATCCACACATACACACTCACTATTAATTTAGTAATACTAATAATTAGCATTGTTATCATCATAATATTAAGGGACTTTAAATCCCTTCTCTGCCTACTTCCACTCGTCCTCCGACAGAAACCTCATGCAAACAGGAAGCACAGCAGAGAAGAGATCAGATAAAAACATTCTTTAGACGGAGGGAGGGGCTCCTACGATAGAAGGAACAGACGGACGTTTTAGTTAATTCACTTCATCAAACACCACAGGTGAAGCTGCTCCTCGTGGAACAAGTGAAAGTTGATCAAAGTGCCGAAATGGTTGACATTTAACGTGGCCGAAACCCAGAGTTGGTCTCAAACTTTGACTGGATTCACATTTCAATCACGATCGGGTTCCCATAGTAGACTAATGTGCACCAGCAACCGGCGGTTATCTGTAAAAGGTTAAGAAGGTTTGAAGGTTAAGAACTTTCTGAATATAAATGTGCTCCTCAGATAAAGTTCAAACGACGACAATTCACCTCATAGCTGCAAAGTTTTTATCAAACTACTGAGGTTGAGTTCCTGCTTTTGTTTTTACATCCATCAAATCTTTCAGCAGGATCTCATGATTTCCATTTTTATCCCAGAAACCAGCACCGTGATGCACCTTTAAGCAGCCGAGATCAGAACTTGTGATGTAGTTGTTTCTACACGACAGGAAAAGTGTTTCTGCGATCGGTACCTGTGACCTTCACCACTTCGTCTACCAGGCTCAGTCTGTCTACATCCTTTGTTCTTCCATCAGCCTCCAGCAATCTGTGAAAGGCTCTGATGATCAAGTTGCAGAAAAATGGGCAAATCTAGACTTCTTTTTAAAATTAATTAGTGTTCAGTTCCTGGTCTTGGTTACTAAATCAGCATTTCCTGCAGCTGCTTCACAGTTAAATGGTTCACCAACTGGCAGCAGATGGAAACACATTAGGGCTGCTGAGACCACAATGAATCTGATTTGGGATCAAGTTGGACCAGGTCTGCTAGTCTGATCCAGTCTGAACCAATCTGAACCAGTCTGATCCAGTCTGATCCAGTCGCTGTCAGTTGTTCTAACAACGATTTTTAAAAAATATGTTTTACATTTGTGACAAATGAAGTCTCTTGTGTTGCCTGAAGACGCTGCATCAGTAAAATAAACAAAAGAAGAAGACTGGTGAGCGAAAAGGTTTGTGCTTTGAACAACTGAACAGACGAAATCAGCCTTTCCAGGATAAATGTCACCAGTTTTGTATTTGGCTGTTCCATACAAAGATCCGACTTAACTCTTATATCAGCAGTTCTACCTCCTGTTTTAATGCCTGTGATGTGAAACTATAAGTTTATGCTCCTCCCTGACTGTCAAACAAAAAACAGTGGTCTTTATAGGGTTCAGCTTTTTCCCACATCGTATGCAGGAAGTAACTAACTAATCATCAGACTCAGTATTTTACAGCAGAAGTCTTTAACTTTTACATTTAACGGTCATTTTTTAGACAATTTTACTGAATTACATTTTTGGGCGAACCCAAATCTGACCTGTCAATGTGAATCCAGTCAGTGTGAGTGAGTCAGAAAGGACTATTTTTCAATGTTTTCGTCCACTGAGATTTGATGATAAACTTGCCCCGGTTTAACTCAACAGATATTTCAACATAAAGAGATAAAGACAGGGTTTCCAAACGTTACAGCAGCCCTAACATCGGCCTCGTGCATCGGGAGATCACCAGAGCTTTTATCAGTCATTTGAATGAAGACTTGAAATGCCTCAGAGCACCAGAAGTATCGACATCTTTAGTGTCAGGAATTTAACTGGAGTTCATATCCTTCGTTGTCTGACCACTTAGTGAGATAAAAGATGTTAGGGTCACTGAAGCCGGATGACTAAAAGATATTCTGGGTACGTTGAACGTTGACAGGTGTCAGGAGTTCTGAAGAGGTTCTCTACTTACTATCTCTACCGATGGGACCTTCTTCCATTTAACTGGCAGCTCAATATTAGTGCTGGTAAATCTTAGGAACCGTTATTTTTTTTAAAAAGGGGGAAATTATTTCACCAAAAAAACACTAAGATGCCCATTCAGTGTCGACCCGTCCAAACAATGTCAACACTCTCCTGGTACTGTGAGGACATTTGGATAAAATCTAGGGCTGCCCACTAACAGTCGACTAAACTGTTGAGACTCTGTCGATGAGAAGATCTTTCACTTTAGAGTAGTCGGATAGAAAAACGTCAGACTCCGTTGGGGAGCTGCAGCTTGTCACTGAGACTCTTGCAACATGGACCCTTTCTCTTGTAACACAGTATCTACCCGGATGGTTGGTTTGTTTACACTACTAGCATAGGAGCTAGCATAGGAGCTAGTATAGGAGCTAGCCTGGGAGAATGAGCCAGTCGAGTGAGCAATGGAACCAGGTTCACAGCTTTGTAAGTAAGTGTTGTACAATGTTCTTGTGTGATGTTACACTGTGTTGAAATGTGTCTCCTTGGTTACATTACTGCTTTCTCTGTTGGCATTTAACAGTCTGCTGTTCAAATATAGAGATTTAAATAAATTAATATCATAAACGTGGGACGACTGGTCGACTATTGGCTTAATCTAACAACTACTAAATCTTCAGTCGGGGGGCAGCCCTAGTAAAATCCTCAATGAAATGGCACATACTAAAACCAGCTGTGTTTCCCTTCACAAGGCTGATCTCAGAGCTGCAGAGCCTTTGGGAGCCTGAGCTACAGACAGATTTTAAACAACATTTCTCCAGTCATTCTGGTCGACACCCACACAGAGCGAGAACAGCTCATTCTAATGCTAAGTAGTAACAGTTGTCAAGTAGAAATGGCACTCTGTAACCATGGAGATATATAACCTTATTAGTTCAGGTAAACAAAAAACACCATCAACCACAACATCAAAGGCTCGGTATCACCCTTGAGCTTTCTCGAGGAGGTCCTTCAGCCTCTCTCGACTCTTAGGCCTCAGTCCACAGGCACAAATTTAACCCGGATCCAATCAAACAAGTTGTCGTTTTAGACTTCAGTCTGAGACGAATCAAAGACGCCATCAGAGAATCTGCTTGAGCTCTCCAGAGTCCACATCTGCTCAAAAACACATTCCTACATCTGTGAATTTAGCCACAAGGGTTAAAAAACAAGAGATAATTTTTATCCATTGAATCCAATCTTGTGCTTGTTGGATTCCAAACCGACGGTCGAGACGTATGTCACTCCAGAAAACCTCCAGCTGTCAATCAGATGCAGAAACTTCTCTGTTGCTGCAGTCGAGTCACACTTTCTTTCCGTGGCAGGACATTGCTTTTGTCATAATGGGGTCCAACATAGCTTTGTCCTTGATGGGCATCCGTATGGGTACCTCTGTCAGCAAAGTTATACCCAACATCCTTTGCAACAAATGGGTAGCGAAGTACGTGAAGTCCGCGTTGTAATGCAGCATGGACACAGGGTTTAAGGATCCGTCAACCAGACTCGAGGTCTTTCCATCAGAGAAGGTTGAGTTAATGATATCCGTGACTGAGACAAGTAGTTTCACCTGAAAGCATCACTTTCCTCTAAGATAATATTGCCTCAAGCACTTCTGGTACAATCTGATGTCACTGCACTCTGTCTCTCCCTGACTACTTTACTCTATGGTGTCTTTTCCAACACACTCTGAAATCTGGCTTGGAACGACACACATTTGTGAAACTTTACAACACAGTTTACATTAACGGCAAAAAAACAAGTGCACTTTTCTGGAGCAGGTGTAAGAAAACGTGACAGAAAAAGGTAAAAGACATCTCACTTCTACGCTCCAAACAACGTCTATGTTCCATTAATAGAGCATCCTGCCACAACAATGTGGGGTATTACTTGTTGAAACAGGATTTTAGGAAAAGATGCTGATGGAATTAACAAAAATCTGTTTATATAAAAGTACAGTGACTGTATTGTTTAACGGGTGATTATCAAGACCAGGACATAATCAACAAGGTCTTTTTTATTTCATTCATTTTGGCATCACGTTGATGTTTGTACACAATTAGAAAGTATCACAAATGTGTGATGGCATACCGCCGCGAAGTGTGTTGGAAATGTCTCTTAAACACTGCACCAGCCCGTTCAATCAGTGCACTGCTGTTGTTGGGTCAAAATCTCACTTTTCCATGTTGTTGAATCTGACGCACTTTTAGTTTCTCCAGAAGGTTTTTCATCAGTCAAAAGTGAGTTGAACGTGACAATCACCTGAAGGCAGGATTTTACCCAAGGACAACGCACTGCATTGCTATCAATGCTTTCTGAAGCAGCCTGTATTATTTTTGTGGGGTATTTACAGACTTTTGCTGATGAAATATATTGCTCTAAACTAATATCAGATTCTAAGGTGATTTGAAATACACCAGCATGAACAACACAAACGTTACTAGCTCAGTTTCACTGACAAAATATACTCTACCTTTATTTTCTGTCACAAAATATCAATATTGCCACGTCTATCAATCTTAAAATAAAAATCCTAAAGGACTTGTTCTCCAATTCTTTAACAGGATAGAAGTAATTGAAATAGCCTGACTTGTTTTGTGAATTTAGTGAATTGAGGGTGAATGATAACAGATGAGTTGCAGCGTGTGAAAGTGAATATTTCTGAGTTTAGACTGGGACTGAATTTAGGTTGTGTGTCGTATTCGACGTACTGTTGTATCAGACCTCAAATTCAGAGAAAGAGACAAAGACAGGAATGATGACGTGCTCTCGTCTCTGTTCTGTTTGGTGCTTTGTTTCTGTCTAAAAGTGCCCATTGTTTATTCCCATATATGCAAAAGCTCTTCTCTGCCGAAAGGCTGACGCACAGAAAGCCAACTGATCCTCCCCGAACCCTTCCATCCAGGATCAAGTTGCCATGAACACATCAAATCTAAGAAACTGTCTCTCCCATTTTATAAACTACCCACCTAATTCCGCTCTCCTGACAGACGACTTCATCAAAACGTCTCCAGTAATGAATGAATCAGTCTTCCCGCTGTCAGTCAGAGTGAATCATCCTCCCACATTAGTCGCTCTTCGTTTCCAAAACAGCCAATTTGTACCCGACACGTTTCCAAATCTCCGTCATCACCCAGGACAAGCGAGGTGTCTTTTGCTACATATTCGACTATTTAAAGTTTATTTTCTGGTTGGTGACGGACAAACGCAAGAAAGAAAGAAAATGTCATTTCTGTCAGGGGCTTAATTCACCCTCTGGTCGACCATGTTTAATGTGGGAGGTAGCAAAGGGGAAAGAGTCCCTTGTTTACGACTTGTGAGTGTTAGCATCGCTGTGCTGCTCGAGATGGTTGTATAAATGCAGGATTGGCTGTGTGGATGGACTGTGGCTAGCATTATACTTGTTAAAGTTGTGTGTAATTACCTAGAACAATGTTTCAGTTGATTTTGGCACTTAAAAAATACTTGCATTATTAAGTGCAAGGGTAGGGACAGCAGAGACTTCAGAACTGGTCTCTCTGTTGTAATTACGATTTGGATGTGAATGGTATCTACAAGTCCAAAAACTGTGACATGAACACTGCATTTGGTTTGTGGATATCTAACTGCATTTATATCAGTCAACTGAACTGAACAGTGAATGATCGAATGGGCAATTTGTGTCTTTGACTGATTGGGAGCTAGCCATAGCATCTGTTCATCTAACCACCACTATAGTTGGTATATGAGCCAACACACAGTAGCCAGTGGAAGCTAGCATTTGCATGGTATAGCAGCAGTCAAACTGTCTGTGTATGTAAATTATATAACATCTCTGACAAATTGATCAACCATTGGTGGCAAGAAACGCAGCAACGCATGAGGAAACAACACAGAAGAATATTATTACTAGCTAGTAAATATGGATGTAAACAATGCAGTGAGTTACACTTCCATAAAGTTAGAGGACTTTAAGAGACAGATTTAAATAAACATGGTCAAAACTGAAGCCACAAAGGCAGAGATTTCCTGACTTAACTTAAATAGCATCTTTCATTAGATTAAAACAACATTGCAATTGTTTCACAAGGGAGGAAATTAATACAAGATTCTCAGTATTTTGGAGAATTTGAGCTAAGAAAGTTAACTATGCCACCTAAACTTCTACAAACACATTTAGCTTGCTACAGCGTTCACTCTGACTGAGAACGTTACTGGATGGATCTACAGACACATCACAACAAGCTGCTTCAGCTAGCTCTCCGTTCATAGCCACTGGTAGAGATTATGTGGTGGATTGCTAAATATTTTTTGTGTAAACTGTTGAACTTCTGTTTGGATCTCAATGGGGAGCAGATGATCTAATTTTACAACAGTTCTGCAATCTGAGTAAATGAACACCAGTACTCACCAGACTAAACCTTCTGAACCGCAGCTGACTAAAACTCCAACTCATAGTTGAAGAAACCATGTTTTAATAAGCGAATGCTTCCTGTTGAATCTCTTCCTATTAAACATGTATGCTGGTCTGACTAACAGATACTGAACACATTTATTAATGTGACGTATGATTTAAACCTCCTTGCTTAAAGAACAATCTCAGAAAACTATTTTAAGGGTGGATCATTAACTTTCTGTTTACCCCTTGTCTGGGGGACGAATGGTTTGATCCACCCACTTCTGTCAATCACACTGTCTCCATGACGATGACGACTTTGCCACTGTCCTCAGACGTTGGCGTGGTGGTGGAGGTGGCGTTGCAAAGTATAAGTCCTTCTCCCGTGGTTATCTGACCTCTGGCAGGGCAGTCCACGCTGTCATGAAGATCAGTGGTTCCACCTCCTTTTTTATCCCTCTCCCCTCCTCCTCCTCCTCTTCTGCCTTCCTCCTTCCTTTCACCCTCCTCTTCCTCTTCCTCTTCCTCATCCTCCTCCTCCTCCTCCTCTACCCGACACCTGCACACCTCAATCCCAGAGTCACCAGTAAGTCGCCGATGTCTATACTGGCTCTCATCAGCTCCCATATCCTCATCTTCATCATCATCATGGTCCTCCTCCTCCTGCTCCTCCTCTCCATCCTCCCAGCTGGGAGGTCCTGGTTCAAAAACATCCACACAGGGGGAGAAGAGAGTCTGCTTAGGAGGAGACTGAGTAGCACGAGGCGAGGGGGAGAGGGAGGAACCGTGGCCAGAGGAAGATCCACCTTTGTTAGACTGGTGCAGAGCAGTGAGGGGGTCGAGGAGTAAAGCTGGTGCTGGGAGGGAGATAGAAGACAGGGCTGGAGGGGAGGTGAGGGAACGAGGAGAAAGAATGGATGTGGTTGAGGATGGGGAGACGGCTGCAGGGGGAGACTGGGAGAGAGCAATAGAAGATACGGACTCTATGGTTATGGCTGGGCAGGAGGAAGAGGACGATGAGGCTGCAGGTGTTGGGAAGCTGAGGACTGGGCCACTAGAGCATGATCCACATTCAGGACCAGAACTGAAAGCAGCCTGGACATTGGATGGTAAGGGACTGAAAAGGTCCGACTCTGACGACTGAGGCAGGACCAGAGAAGGACCTGAATCGGCTGGTACTGCAGCTGGATCTAGACAAGATATAGGGACAGATATACCCCCTGGGTGTTGGGGCAAGGCTGATCCTGGGCTGGTAGGGTCCAGGGCTAGACCTGAGCCAGGTGACATTTCTGGAATCTGGCAATGGGCTAACGTAGGTGAAGTGGGTGCTGCATCTGTGGCTAAGGTAAGGTTTGGGTGTGCCGGTTTTGGAGTGAGAATAGGGTTAAGTGCACAGTCTGGGACAATGGTGTTTTTAGATTGAGGATTTGGCACTAGGTTAAGGTCTGAAGGTACCAGGAAGGAAGCTTGGGTAAGGTCTGAAGGTTCTGGGACTGGAGCTTGGGTAAGGTCTGAAGGTTCTGGGACTGGAGCTTTGGCAAGGTCTGAAGGTTCTGGGACTGGAGATTGGGTAAGGTCTGGAGGTTCTGGGACTGGAGATTGGGTAAGGTCTGAAGGTTCTGGGACTGGAGTTTGGGTAAGGTCTGAAGGTTCTGGGACTGGAGCTTGAGTAAGGTCTGAAGGTACTGAAATTGAAGTTTGGGTACAGTTTGAAGGTTCTACGATTGAAGGTTGGGTAATGTTTGAAGGTGCCAGGATTGGCACAAGGCTAGAATTTGGGTCTGGTGTTTGGAGAGTAGAAGAGCCTGTCATCAGGGCCAAAGTTCTTCCAGCATCTGGGGACGGTACTGATGTTGGGCTAGGAACACTGGCTGTATCAAAAGTTATTATTAGATCCAGGGTTTGGGTGGCTGGGGTGGTTGGGGTAGAACGGCCCGACACTGGGGTGATTTTCAGGGCAGGGTTAGGTTCCAGGCTGTCAGCTGGGCCCTCAATGCTTATTTTCCGGATGGAGGGGGGTGTTCTGTCAACACCTAGACTAAGGCTTGTACTTGGGCTACAGGTAGTGATTTTTGGGGTACAGAGTGCTAGGTCGAGCTGTTGCTTTATGGGAGATGTAGTTACAACAGGAAGAACCACATCAGAACCGGGAGAGGGCAAAGTTTGAGGGGAGACCGCCCTTGAAACAACTGCCACCGAAATAATCTGGTTGGGAACCGATAAGTCCGTGGCAACGGGTTCCTGCGGCCCAGCAGCATCTTCATCACCGATGTCAATGGCTACCGTGGCAACCATCCTCTCAGAAGCAAATCGTGTCTCGTTTACCTCCAAATAGGTTGCCGCGGCAGAGATGGTCTCCATGGTGACATCGAGAGTGAGGGGCGCGGCCTCGCTGGGCGTGGTGGCGTGGCTTGTGTCAGTCTCATATGTGACAGGTGCAGATAGGGAGGAGCTACACGGAGAGGAGGGGCAGCAGGAGTCACAGGAACAACTGGAGCTACAGGAAAGACAATCATTATTCATCTAAATCTGAAAACAATCATTTGTTTGTAGTGAATTCTTCAAACAAAACAATACATATAAAAACATTCAACACATTTCTGTCATCCATTTGAGTATTAACAGTAATACAATGGTGGCAGCAGTAGTCGTCAGTGTTGTTACCTGTTGTCGGAGCTAAGGGAGGACGGACCGTCACTGAGCGGCTGGTGCAGCAGCGGG